CATGCGTGTAGTGCCCCCCACTGCCATATATTGTCAAACGGCTAGCCCTTCTGGAATCGCCACCGACCGAAGCATGCGTGTCTTGTGCCTGGCATCCTCGGTGGCCTGGGAATGCCCAAAGCGGCGTAAACAGCGAAACTCACTCCGGCCCGTAATGCTACACGATCTCCGTCATGGCTTGAACTGCTGTCAGGATGCATGATGCTCAAGATCCCAACGTGAGGCGCAGAGTTCGAACACTTTCACTGGTGACTGAGCTCGACACGTTAAGCCATAGAGCCGACAACCAAGCTCCGAGTGTCGGCTTCAGCGCTCGAGCCCCCAGCACTATCGGTCGAGTGCCAGTGGGATCATGATAACTCGATGGCGGTGTGTCCTAGACCATGGTGGTCCTTTCTAACCACGTCGCCAAATATCTGGAGAGCCCAGTGTTCCCGCAGTGCCGCACAATTGTGCGCCCCACTAGCCTGCCCGTGAAAGACTTAGGGGCGGCATAGATGTCGGTTGGCTGACCGCTCCCAATCGAGCGCAGCGACTGCATCAGCTGTAGTTTAGACACTGCAGTCCTCGTCGAGATTCACGACGAGGACCGCATGCTTGCCAAAGGTGTCAATCCACCGCTGCAGGTTGTCAACCTCGGCGCCCGACAGGACGAGGAGGAGGGACGAGGAAGGAGGGAGGGAGAAATAAGGGGGGACGAAGAAGGACGAAGAGGGGACAAAGGAGAGAGGAAGGAGGAGAGAGGAGAGGGGAAGGAGGGAGGAGGGAGGAGGGAGAAGGGGGGAGGAGGGAGGAGGAACCGTAGGCACGGAGGGCAAGGAGGGCGAGGAGTCAGAAAACATGTGCTGAACACGTGCGGACCACATTGTTGCCGACGTCCTGCTGGCATGCCCCAGTGCCCAGTGGCACGTAGCGACGGCAGCATTACAAAACGAGGAGGAGGAGCAGGAGGAGGAGGAGGGGCAGGCTACGAAAGTGCAAGATCCGTCCACGGAAGATACGATGCAAGGTGCAACGAGAAAATCGCCACCCGACTGGAAAAACCCACGCTCGCCCAGGGCCGCATGCTCGAACGGGTGACATCGAACACACAATGAACGCGGCTGGCGCATTCGACACATCGGGCGAGGAAGCAGCTCGTAACGAAGGCTGGAGCGGCTGGAACCATGATCGAAACGGTCATAGAAGAGACAAAGAGGGAAAGGACGAGAAGGAACCGAAGAAGAGCACGGAAACCTTCAGGGGTTATGTTCGATGCACGTGGTGTGGATGAGCTGCTCCAAGAGGACAGAAACTGACCATGGCAGTCCTGGTCAGAGAGGGTGTTTTGTCGCACGACGTGAAAGAATGATGGCAGCTCGACAAGGAAGGACTGTCGAATCGTTAAGGGTTGTGGAGTCACCGCGAAATAAGTCGAACTGTTGAAGTTAGAACGCGCAGCCTTTGGCATCCACAAAGGTCCACCACGCGCTGGACACAATTCGTGATCGTGTTCGCAATTAACCGGCTGCTCAAACAGCCTCAGCGAGTTAAGGTATTGCTGGGCGTGCTAATGCATGCGTACCCAAACCCGTGCCGCTGGCATCGTGGCGCCGCTCGACGTGGCTATACCAAATTTCTGCGGGGGCCGCCCAAATACGCTTCTACGCCCTGCATGCCGCCGCGATAACGAGTATGGCTACCGCTATCGGCCCCGAAAAATCCGACGACGATCCAAAGGGGAGCCTTAAAAACTCTGTCTGCCAGGCTCCAATGGAGCTCCGCGAATCTCTTAGAGGGCATCAAACCGATGACTCGCCCTCCTCACAACTGTTCGAGCCTTGCAACACATCACTCGGAAGATCCAGTGGAGCGCCCAGGATCACCAATGGTTCCAAGGGAAAAGAAAGTCACGACGATGATCCACTGCTGCTGATAAGGACACAGGCCGACATTTCAGGAAAGAGCGACAGTAAATCAGCTGTGGTCCAACCATGAGGGACTCAACGCATCCTCTCTCCTCACCCTCACACTCTGTAACAAGATACCAGCTCGGACAGCATGGCGATGGACGCTGAGCCTCTCACGTACACGCCTTTCGAAATGAAGTTCTTCCGCGCGTTCGCACAGTGCACGGGTTGCGACCTGAGCCAGCTGTGGTACTGTTTGTCGCTTGCTCTCGCAGCTGAAATAGTGCATGTCTCTCGTGACTTGCACTTTGCTGTTTCCCTCCCTAAAGCACAAGCGTCTGCAAATACTGCACGCCCGCTCTTGTTATCCGCCGCCGTGCCTCGAAGCACGAAGTGGAGTGTCCTTAGGCCCGCCTGAATTCTCAGTACTCTGTTTTCAGCACTGGGATACTATAGAATCAAAGTGCCAGCAACCCAGATTTCCAAATATTCCAGGCGCTCTTGGGGTCGGTCACATGGATTCTACAGCGTCTAGACCCAAGACGGCCCAAGAGGCTCCCGAGAGGCCCCAAGAGGCCCCAAGAGCGATCTGAGAGCACCCCCTTATGAGGGCCCTGAGAGCCCGCAAACGAACTCCACGACTTAGCCCCCCCTAATGAAACACTACACAAAAGACCTCGCGAAACACCCTACGAAACACCCCGCGAATCATCCCAAGAAACACCCTACACAATACACTACCTAACACCTCACGAAACATCCCGCGAAAAAAAAACACGAAACCCATCACGAAACACACCACGAAACACACCACGAAACAGCCGCCGAAACATGCCACGAAACGTCATATGAAAGACCCAGCGAAGCACCTCACGAACAAGAATGCGAAACACCCCAGGACACACCCCAAGAAACATCAGACGAACTACCTCACTAAACACCCCGCGAAACACCCCACGAAGCATAACATGAAACACTCCGCGTAACATCCTATAAACACCCCACACAAAAATATCCTGCCGCGAGACACTGCGCTAAACACCTCACGAAACGCCTCGCAACACACCCCGCGAAAGACCCCACGAAACTTCACACGAAACAGCCGACTCAATACCCCACGGCATCCCGCGAATCATCATACGAAGCACCCCACGAAACACCCCATGAAACACCCCACGAAACACCCCACGAAACACTCACCCGATCACGAAACAGTCAGCGACCCACCACATAAAACGTAACAACAAGCAGTACATGAACCACCACGAAACACTCCACGATCGCGAAACGGTGCAAGACACATCCCACGAAACACATCAGGAATCACCCCGCGAAACACCCAAGAGACCTCCAAGAAACTTCCGAGACGAATCCCAAGAGACCCACACATGCACCGACGAGACCTCTGACCCACGACCCAGGCACGGAGGCGGGCTGTGCCGCAGGCCACCAGACAATCAACTGTAGAGAGGTGTGTAGACATCATAGAGAGAGGGAAAGAGAGAGAGAGAGAGACAGAAAGGGATAGAGAGAAAAAGACAGAGAGAGAGGAAGAGAAAGAGCGAAAGAGAAAGAGAAAGAGACAAGTAAAGGGTGAGACCCAGAGACGAGCACCCCTTAGCTTGTGATCCGTCGCCGCGATGGGCGACACAGTGCTGGCCAGACGCGCTCACAGCGAAGGAGCAGAACCCCAGAGAGGCAGAAGGACAATGTTGACTGCTCCTTCGGGGGACCCTCCTGGAGCCACTCGCTCCACTCGTGCGTCGAAGCTGCGCCGAACGTCCGTCGATTCGGGTCGACCTTGAGTCGGCCTTGAGTCAAACCTGAGTCTATCTGATGAAGGGAGCTGGGGTCGAACTGGAGTCGAGCAGATCAGTTCAATGGGCCCCAAGAAGATCCCCAAAACGAGCATATAAACAACGGGCGGCACACTCGTGCAAGAGACGGAAAAAAAGGAAACGGTGGGCGATGAGAGGGGGGCGACGAGAAGGGCAGGAGGGGAGGACATGAATGGGGGAAGCAAGATCAAAAGAGTACGCCTCGAGTAGGGGATCGACTACATAATTGATGTACCCAAAACTGATTGCCCCGCCGAATATACTCACACAAAAAAACGTACAGTGTCCCGTAGACCTACGAAGGTTATACGCGTTTCTCGTATATTCGACGGGAAATCAAGTTTGGAGTAAATCAGTTATGTTGTCGATCCCAAATTCGATTGTCTTACGTCGTTCAAGGCTCATGGGGAATGCATGCCTGCCCAACTGAATGCGCCAACAGCACTCGCTGGCTCCGTCACCCCTCGCGCGACCTGTGCGTGTGACGATCTACTGAGACAAACAACGATGTGCTGTTCCTCGGAATCCCCACCAGCGAATCTGGAGCACGAGCTGACTTGTGCAGCTCTAGGAGACGAGATCAGGACGAGGAGAACTCAGCTGCAGACGGAATCCATATCTGCGTGTTTTCCTCGGAATCTCCCCCCCCCAGCGGATCCTGAGCACGGCCTGACTTGTGCAGAGATGGACCGCGCCACAACCGCTGCCGTTTTGGTCCTTGGTTCCTGTTCAAGCCGTGCGCGGCACGGAGTCCCTCGCGGCGCGCTTACAGCACTGCTGAATGTTCGGTTCGGCATAAACGGCTCCAGACGGACAAACTAAGATTCCCATGCAGTGCAAATCTGGCGTTCCCCATTATTTTAGCGCAAGCTGGTAGAACTGTTCCGCACCCTTGGATGCAACTAGCTGTTGTAACACGCATTCCTGCAAACGCTGCTAACAGAAAAGCAAGCTGGTGCTACTCGAACATGGGATGGTGTAAACAACCCCGCCCGCTGCTCGCTCTAGACAAACAGGTCAGCGGAGCGTCCACGGCCGCCACACTGGTGAACCATAAGCTCATCACCCCTGTGTGGTACGCCGTCGCGTCATACACCGCAAGGATGCGCAGCTTATGATCACGCCTGAAGCGCCGCACCCTGCCTCCACCCCAAGAACAAGGCGTCAGGCCTGTCAAGTACCGTCGGGGCCTTGACCTAAGGAACCCAAAATAAGGAACGAGGCCCCTTTTTAAAAACTTCGATTTCCGATCGAAAACGTAAGGAAAACCTGAGGCAAGCTGCGAAACACTTAAGGAACGCGGAGCCCCTCCCCAACGAAAAGGGTTCCTTCTTCAGGGCCCTGACTGTAGCCCTTCAAGTTGCCGGGCTCCTCGCCAGTGCCATACATGAACCCACCACTGCTGTCGGGCGTGCCGTGGACCTCACAGGGCGTCTCGTGGGTCTCGTCGATAACATTGCCAGCCCAATGAAGGTGTGGCGCCGCAAAGACCAAATCCACGAGGTCAGATCCCCAGGGCCTGGCCGTTGGCCGTCGGTCAGAAAACGCAAGAGGCTGGACACTCTCCGCAATGATAATACACTAATCTGGAGGAGTGGCCCCAGCACACGGCACAACGTCGTGCCCAAGATTCGTGTCATCTATCCCTGAGCTTTTGACGCCGCAGCATGCTGCACTCTCCAGCTTCTTGGTGGAAGCGTTGGTATCTTCATTATAGAGTGAACTTCATGTAGACCTCGTCAACAAATTCATCTGCGCAATTCGGTGACGCGCATTCCTTGTCCGTGTCAACGACAAACATGCCGTGTTCACAACAACGCAAACCACCCGTGTAAGTGGAGAGATGGTATGAAGGGTTGCCGGTTGCATTGAACTCTTTGCTGCAATGGATGGGTGAATCTGCCACTTTCCCATCGATCGTGCCTGCAACTGGATCAATCTTGCGCTGCGGAGTGCACGGGCACTCGAGCAACTGTGCAACTGCTGGAGAATCATCCGTGGTGGTGTTATCAGCGAGATTCGCATTGAAAACGTGCAGCGTCAGCGTAGGCGCCCACGTTTCCGGGCCTGCGCACCACGAGGCGGTACGGAGCCTCGAAGCGCTGCGGGTTGTGCCGGTACTCGGCCCCAGCAGCGCTACCAAAGGAGACCAGATTGTGGTTCGGCTTCGCCCCTGCCGCAGCGTGCTTGTGGAATGCATGCGCACCAGCACCAGTCATCCCGTGGCATGCCGTGACCTTGTGCGCAGAGTGCTCGTTGCCGGCGGCAAGATTGGTCAGCTCTCGCATCGAGTCCGCCTCCCCGAAATACAGCATGTGCTGGTGGAGGTAATGGCCGCTCAGCTTGACAAGCGTCTCGCTGCCATTTGGGTGTTTTCGCACCATCTCTGGATCGAGGCCAGTGATCCCCATCGATTTATCACCTTTCGCGTAACGGGCGACGACGTCCGGTGGGATTGGGAGACCTTTCCCAGAACCAACATGCATCTTTTGATGCAGCTCGCCGTAACGCAAGCGCACGGCACTCCTCAAAAAGTGCTCGCACCAGGTGGTCTTACCTGGCTCATGAGTGCTTGGATGAAGATGTTAGGGGCTCCACCTGGGAGGAGGAGGAGGAGGAGGAGGAGGAGGAGTGCCTGGTTGGTGGCCGAAGTGACCGCCTCGTGGCCGCCACGTGCGCTGGGTGGTTTCGCCGGGGCTTCGCCCGGTGCCCGGCTGGTGGCCGCCCCCGTGGCCGCCTCGTGGCCGCCTTCGTGCCAGGGTGCTGCCCGGTGCCCGCCCGCGGCCGCCTCGTGGCCGCATCACAGAGCCTGCAGCGAGCCTCTCTCGCCACATAGCCTGCGCTGCACCACACAGCAAGGGCCACATATACAGCCGGACTTCAGTGGGCAGGGCACGCGAGAGGACACAAGACCCTTCCGAGGGCCACACTGCCACAGGAATGTGGGGAGCATGGGTCGCGAGGCACAGGGCACAAAGGCACCCTTGATGTGGCGGGGTCGACCTACTAATCCGGGCCGACTGTAGCCTGCACAGCATTGATGGCACCACGTGGCCTGCACCACGTAAAACAGACCGCCTCGTTTTCACCACACTGCTTGCAACACATAGATTGCACCACATACACACACGAAAAATGCACCACCTGTGTTGCACCGCAAAGCTTTCACTGCATAGCATGTACCACACCGATTCCATCACACAGATTGTGCCACAGAGCTTGCTTCGTGTATAGTGCACCACATAGATTACAACACATATGCTGGACCACATGGACTGCACCACATAGTGTGCCACATAGAGTTCGCCGCATTTGCACCACATAGCGTGCACCATATATATATATATGTTGCACCACACAGGCTGTACAACACATATTGCGCCAGATTGCACCACATATACTGCGCCACATCTGATACACATCCAGAGTGCAATGACGCGCTGTTTGGGGTCCACGCCAGCAAACATGCGTAAGTTAAGACACATGCTGCCAATATTACATATTAATTGGGCATAAGTATGGGTCTCTTAGACGACCTTGCCAAGATGATGACGGCCAGGTCTCATAAATCACTGAAGGAAGTGCCACTCGAATCCATCCAAAACTACGCAGAACTATCCCAGGAATTGCGTGCACACTCTGTACAACTGACTTGCAAACCTTGGCCAATCGATCGAACGGATTCAACAACCGAAACACCCACACTTGAAATGAGCGTGGTAAAGGAGGAAGAAAACCACCAGCCCTTTAGGGCGCGAGTGGTAGTTTAGGGAGTTTCCTCTTCCAACCCCTCTTCTTTCCCTTCGGGGAGGAGTTTGTTCCCTATTAGTAAACCTCCCCTCCCCCAGGCGACCGGCAGCCAACCAGGACCAATGTGACCCCCACCATCCATGTCAAAAAACATTACGAAGCACACTTTGGTGCAAAGTCTTTGGTCATGCTCGTGGGCCCCGTAAGCACTTTGTACTGTTCTTTGGCAGGGACGGCGGGGGTGCCCTCATATTGTCTGCAGAAGGCCACCATCCCGATCACAAATTAATAAAACATGCACTTCGCGGCAAATTCTGGATCATGCCCAGCCACCCCGAGATCACTGTCCATTGGTGTTTGACAAGGACCGCGGGGGTGCTGGCATATTGCCTGCTGTGTGCAGGCCCATCAGACACCATGATGGCCTCCCCGCCGCGATTGCGCACTGGTTTGCGACAAGGATGGTGGGGGCCGACATGTTTCGCGTGCGCGTCGGATGAGGAGGAGGAGGAGGAGAAGGAGGAGGAGGGGCGACAAGGATGGTCGCGTGCGCGGGCGCACCTGGCACGCACTGCGCGTGCCCCAGACGTGGCGACACCTGGCGCGGTTGGACCCTGCGGCACACATGGCGCACGCGGAGCACGTGGCGCATTTGGCGCACCTGGCGCGCGAGGCGTGCCTGGCTCGCTTGGGCCCCAGGGGTGCCTGGCGCACCTGGAGCGCCTGGAACGCGTGGCGCGCCTCGCCCCATCGCGCACATGGAGTCTGTATTGGTTCCCAGTAGCGGCCCATGCATGGACAACCGCTGAACATGCTGAGGCCTCGGTGCTATGTATGTGTTGGGAGGGCGGGTGGGAGTGTGCGAGACAGCTTGCGGGCGGGAAGGGTGTCTTGATCACTGTTCCCTATTGATATACAACCCCTCCCCCAGGCGACCGGCGGCCAACCAGGAACCATGCTCCCCCCCACCATCCCTGTCAAAAAACAATACAAAACGCACTCTGCCTCCACATTTGGAGCATGCACGGCCAACCCCATGCGAACCCCCCACCATCCCTGTCAAAAAAAGCAGTACACAGTACACTTTCGGGCAAAGTCTTGAGTCATGTTCATGAGACCCGCGAGCACTTCGCATTGTTTTTGACAGGGACGGCGGGAGTGTCAGCATAGTGCCTGCTCTGCGCAGGGCTACCGTCCCTGACACAAAACAAAACAAAATGCACCTCGCGGCCAAATCTGGATCATGCGCGGCCACCCCGCGATCACTGTCAAGTGGTTTTGGACATGGACGGCGGGGGTGCTGGCGTATGGCCTGCTGTGCCCAGGCCCACCAGACACAATGATGGGCACTGATGTTCGATCAGGATGGTGGGGGCCGACCTGTTTCCCGATGTGTGCTGTCACGTGCGCAGGCGCACCTGACACGCTATGCACGTGCTCCGAGTGTGGCGCACCTGGCGCGGCTGGAGTATGCGGCACGTCTGGCGCACGCGGACCACGTGGCGCATCTGGCGCACCAGCCGTGCCTGGCACTCTTGGGCTCCAGGGGTGCCTGGCGCGCGTGGCGCGCCTGGCACGCGTGGTGCACCTCGCCCCAGCGTCGCGCACATGGGGTCAGTTTTGGTTCCCAGCAGCTGTCTATCCAAAGACGACCGCTGGACATGCTCACGCTCGGGCGTTACTCATGTGTTGGGAGGGCGGGTGGGAGTGAGCTAGACGGCTTGCTATCCAGCGGGTGTCTTGACCCCTCCCGCTACCCCCTTCCCCTGAACCTGGACAGGCGTTTCGAGACGCGTCAGAGCGTTTGTGCCCAATGTGGCCTTCCTAGGGGAAGGCCCAAATTAGCCCCCGCCCCATCTTTGATCGATCACCTCCAAGATAGCCCCAAGATGGCCACCGAAGCTCCCAAGAGTGCCCCAAGAGGCGCCCAGGAGGCCCCAAGAAGGCCCCAACAGGCCCCCAAGAAGCCCCAAAGAGGCTCCCAAGAGACCCCTAAGAGGCCCCAAGACGCTCCCCCGAGGCACCCAAGACGCTTCAAGAGGCCCCCAGAGACCCCCGCCTAGAGGCCCCCAAGACGCCCCAACAGGCCTGCAAGAAGCTCTCAAGAAACATCCAAAGAGACTCATGGAAGCATCCAAGAGGCCTCTGGCCTTTCTTTTCGCCCCCATCCTCCTGCTCCTCTTCCTCATCCGCGTAATCATTTTCCTCCCTCTCCCTCCTCCCTCCCCCTCCTCCTCCTCCTCCTCCTCCTCATCCTGCTCCGCCTCCTCCTGCTCCTCCAGCTCTGCCCACTCCCGCTCATTCTCCTCCTCCTCCTCCTCCTCCTCCTCCTCATCTTCTTCTTATTCTTATTCTTATCCCTCGTCCTCCTCCTCCTCCGCCTCCTCCTCCTCCTCCTCCTCCTCCTCTGGTTCCTCCTCCTCCTCCGCCTCCTCCTCTGGATCCTCTTCCATCTTATCCCTTTGGGGTATGACGGCTCCCGATCCTTTATTCCACTGTGTGCTCCCCACATGCAGGATCTGGGCAACTCGCCTGGGCATTAATTCGACTTCCGATCCTTCATTCCACTGCGTGCTCCCCCTCATGCCTGATCTGGGTAACTCGACTGGGCATCGTTTCTGGATGGGCTGGTACGGTTACGCGAAGCGTCTAGTGGCACCGGGTACGCTGAGAAAGACCACCAAGTGAACATTGACCTGGCCGCGAGTAGGCAGGCGCTACTTGCCCTCCTCCATCTATTCGCGCAGCCGATTCGCCCCGCTGAGTGCGCTAGATTAGAAGGCATGCGGCAAAGCACTACGTGTTTGGCTTGGTCAACCCCCTCCCGCGCATTCCACGGAGTGTTACGCCACTGCTGGCGTTGGCTTGGGTACCGTGCTGCTGAGGTTGTCGTTGTCGAGGTCGTCCTGTTGGCACCCCTGGCTGCGGCCCGGCGGGCGTGGCGCCCTCTTGGGCTTCGGTAGACGCCGCGGCTGGAGCACGCTCTGCTGTACAAGCGGAAAGACGGCATGAAGACGGACCACAATCTCCATGAGACCTTGAAGCGTCGGGTGTGGCTAGAGGTGCCCCTGGCCCGAGGTGCCCCCAGCTTTTCGCTCCATTTTGGAGCCCCTGGGGCCCTCTAGGCCTCGCGAGAGGTGCCCTGGAGGCCGCCTGGGCCACCCCGAGAATCCTGGGGGGGCCCTGGGCCAGGGGCACTCCTGGCGACGCCCGAGAGCGGGGCAGCCTCAGGCGACGGGCCCATGCCGCCCTCGTCGCTCTGCGGCACCCGACGCCGACCCTCTGGAGACGAGGGCACGTCCGAGTGCAGGCGCTCCGGGACAGCGGGCGGAAATGGCGCGCCCACGCTGGCGGGTCGTCCTGCCGCTGGCGCCTGTCGGCCCCTCCTGCCACGCCGGCGCGGTGGGCTCGCTCGGTGGTCCGCTGGTGGTCCATGAGGGCAGGGCCACTACGGCATTGAGGGCTTCACGACTTCTGCCGTCCCTGGATGCGCGCTGGGGCGGCCACGATCTGCTTCAAATTTCCTTGGGGGTCTCTGGAATTCCATGGATTTACTTGAATTTACCCGGATTTACCTCGACGGATCTGCATATGCCTTCCTCCATCTGCTTTGATCCCCACAAGGTCGATGGGCGAAAAGTCGTCAAGCCCTTGGGGACTACGGCTGGGCGGTGGTGCTGGTGAGCTCGATCTGATCGGCGTGTCGGAGAACTGGCGGCGGTCGGCGACCCTTGGGCGGCGCAGCTCCGGCCGGCCAGCGGCTGGCGTTGTCGCGGCCGGCGACAGATAAAATCTACAAACGCTCGGCTCTCGGCGCCCGCGCTTTCGTCGGCGCCGTGCCCGTGAGTGG